GATATATAGAAGAAAGCACTATGTCAAAAAAGTGGAAACTAGGTGTTTTGTATCCAATACCCAAAACTGAAGACTGGTGTCATAACTTAAACAATATGCAGCTGATTTTATTACTGAATTATTCTAGAAAATAGTCTCCCAAGAGAAGGCACAGCAGTACCAGTGCACTTCATTAACTGCCTAATAAAGGAAGTAAAGAAAAAGAAGAAGAGAACATTAAAAACTTGTACAAAATTGATAATAGGTTTAAAACTAGCAAATAATGTTTTTAAAACATGTTTACAATATTTTTTCAGATAATAAGTTCGCAATGAGTTTTTTTTTTTTTTTTTTTTTTTTTTTAAGGTGACCTTTTTAGTCGGTATTTTATTATAGTTAAGTTCAAGTTAGTTTTTACAGCACTCCAATTAACCATATCTATTTTTTTAACTATATATATTACAACCAGCCTTAGGACTAGAACATCCTCGAGGTAAACCTGATATTACATTACATGTCCCACACATGATAGTGTATACTCATTCAGTAACTACTTCCTAATTAGTACTTATTGTCTGCCATCATTGTGTTTGTATCTCAAGCCACCTTTTGGGGTGCTGCTATAACACAATCTGTATCTCAAGTACAACCTTCCTAATTAGTCCTTCATTACGTACTCTTGCCCTTGTAAGATTCACAACAACTCCAGTACCCCACATTTCAGTCGTCTTCTTACCAGATTCTTTATTTGTCTCTTCCTTATTTCCAGCTAGCAACCCGAACGGGTTGGTCTGCCCAGGCTTTAGGTGCCTAAAGGGCGCCCTTCATCTTGGTCTGTATTTTCAGAGCATATGGTCTTTTTCTCCAGTGCGTCTAAACCGGCGGTTCAGCTAGTGTGTCCCCCACTTAAGAACTTGATTGCTCAGTTCTCCAATCTCAGGCCCCAGTTCAAATTCAGCCTTCATATAGTATCATCGAAGATCACTGCTACCTCCAAACTCGGGACTTCCCAAATAGGCTTCGATCTCCGGTCCTGTAACCTGTGCTATGCACAGCCCACAGATTACAGCCACCTGGAATCCCTTTCACCAGTGCCCCAGGCACTAGATCACTAAATCAACCTAAATAGAGATCGTTGTCTGACATATTCTGTTTTTGCTATTTTTGAAAGCGTCTTCTCTAGGATTCAAACCTTGAGGAATATATCATTACCATTTGGAAAGAGTGACGACTAGACCACTTCACTAAGGCGCTACACTTCTTGGTTCGCAATGAGTTTATAACTAGTAATTATTATATTTTAATAATATTTTTTAAAAAAAACATAACTACAACATTATAATTACTAGTTAATAATAGCATAGCAGATATTTGATTTGATTGGCTTGAAGATCTCTAAGTTACACAACATAAATAAAGTAACTCTTACTATAAAAAACCACATCGTCAATTGGCAACTTGTAGTTTTATACAATAAATTTTTTTTAAAAACACTTTAAAGTATTTTTTACCTCTTCATATGTCTTTAGTGAAAAAAGATCAATATAGATCATTTTCACTAAAGACTTTACTTAGAGAGCAAATTTAGGCAAATTTAAACAAGTAATATATAACGAATGAGGTATAGATCATTTTCACTAAAGACTTTACTTAGAAAGCAAATTTAGGCAAATTTAAACAAGTAATATATAACGAATGAGGTAATAAGCTTTCAAATTTGAAAAAAATTTAAGAACTAACTGATTTAAATTTCTTTTTTAAGTTATTGATACAAATATTTGGCTTTATGTAGATCTTCAAACCAGCAACATATGACATATATAAATCTTCAAACTAGCAATGCTTAATATTTCAATTAGTGCTTGACACAGCTATTTGGCTTTATATAGATTTTTAAACTAGCAATGCTCGACATTCTATTAGCAGAGATGAAATTCCCTGATAGAATGTATTCTGTTGGTAAATATTACTGAAAAAGAGATGTTGTTGAAAAGAATATAAATATTGCTTTCGAATGATATTTAAAATCTGCTATCACTGAAAAAGCTAAAACTACTGCAAAAAAAGAAGAGTTTTTTCATTAGACAGCATATTTAAAATTTCAAAATATCAAAGAAATAGATAAAGGAGCATGTTCTACAGTTTTTAAAACCAAATATTTAAATCAATCAGGGTCATATGAAAATGTAGCAATCAAGATCGTAAAGGATTCTAATAGGGATAAAGATCTATTTTTAAAAGAGGTATTTTTATTATTATGTAGCTATATTATTGACAACTGCTCTAAAAATTTTCTTATTTTTGTATTTTATATCATTACTGTTTTATCAAAAAGAAAAGTTTAAATTGATAACATAAGTATATGAATATAGAAAAATAGTATAGTCATCAATAACTATATAACTGTTATCTTTTTGCTCAATTAAGTATTTTATTTATTCACTTATTTTTTTTTTTTTTAATTCTTTGACAGTCTTGCCAGTGCTCAATTTATTAAAACTATATTTTAAGTGAGAGTTGAACTCTCTCAAACAATACAAATCATTTATAACTATAACAGAGAGTCTCACAATTGCAAGCCTGACATTACCCGGCTGCGATAAAACGTGTCTACATGTGACTTGTCGCATCAACCTGTATACAAGTTAGATAAACTTTGTCAGCTTGTCAAAGCTTTTCCCTTTATATTCTCTTTCTTTACCAAGAGCAAAAGAAAGTAATAATCTTATATCTAATACAAAACCACCAATAGTACCAAGAAGACAAAACGAATAACTAACTAAAAAAAACAAATAGAACAAAGGAGAATTTTCAAAGAAAATATAAAAAAGGGTACAATAAAATGTAAAAAAAAAAAAACAAAGAAAAAAAAGCCCAAGGGCCAACAAAGAGGAAACTACCTCTATCAAGAAGTAGTACAAATGAAACGAAAGAAAAAAGAAAAATATACTATTATAACCTGTACCAGGTTTAAGAAAAAATTTTATAACAACTGCAACGTTTGTATATCTCAACTATAAAATCTAACAAATTTTTATCTGACTACTGGCCATCTCCAGATGTCTCTTTTGCCAGAGACCTGATTCTAGTCACATGGAGAACCCGTATCTATAGATTACGTCATGTATCGTATTCACCAATAAACAAGGCACGTGGTTGCATTTCTGGGTATGTTTGAATTTGGAAGATAAACAATGCTGATCTTTTGAAGGGAGTAAACCAAATCGCTCACTTTTTGTCAAAAATTTTGGAAAAAACCAGCCAAGCAAAAAACACCTAGAAAGAGACCACTTGCACCTAAGAAAAGTAGTTACATTTATATAAAGACTTAACAACTCCTAAACCTTCTTCTTGAAAAGGAGTGAGGCTCCTATATTATTCTTTTTAGTAAGTGATAAACTCTGGGCTTGTTGGCAAGTAGCATATAAGAACTACTTTTAAGCGACAAGTGCTATGCATGCGGTGAGTGATAAACTCTAAAAAAGTTAGCAGGTAGCATATGAGAACTACCTCTAAATAACAACTGCCAACTTATAGCTAGGCCTCCACATGGGCCAGGGCTACCCATAGGTACCCTAAGGCAGTGTTGTCACTCGGACCAGACTCAGACTTGGACCGGACCCAGACCGGACAAGCTCATCATGTTCGGCGGATAGTTATATTGCCAAGAGTAATGATCCAATACCAATATAGCGGATTAAATACCCCCAACATAAATTCGTAAAACCTGATCTTGTATTAGTTAAAATATTGGTTAAAATAACACTATTATTAAAATTTCAAGTATACATATATATAAAAGATTGCAGGAATGGTAAAAAAAAAACAGTTTAAACTGTTTTTATCCTTTTTTTTAAAATATTGACATCTAATTCTAAAATTTTGCTGAAACTAAAAAAATATTGCCTCTAATTATTAACTTTAAATTTATTAGAAATTACATAAATAAAAATAAAAAAAGTAATATATTTAATCACTTTAATTTTTCAAAGCTATTATTTTTAAATATGGAATTTGCTTATCGGCCAGTTAAACTTTCATTTATATTAGTTTTATATTAGTTGGTATTGAAAATCAATATTACATACTACTATGTAAACCTCATTGAATAAGTTTTTGCGAATGAATATGTTTTTTTATATCCAATAAATAATTTTATTTGTCAACTAAATCGATAGTCTTCTTTATAATAATTATATTTCAGTAAGGTTTTGTTCGATATTTACACGTATCAGTTGACAACTTTTGTAAATTTAAACAGAATTCTTTTAACGGGAGTCTTCCACAAAATAAGAAAAATTTTTTTTTGAATTTTAGTAATCAAAATATTATCATTATTAATTTAAATTACACAATCAGATCATAATTACATCATAATGTATTAAACTATTTTTTAACCAATTTAAATCAATATGATTTTTATATTCATTTTTAAAACACTTGCCATCCCCAGAAGATTGCACTATTAAAATATTTTCGATCAAACAGCATGTGAACAGAATTTCTCTAGTCTAAAGTGGCTTAAGGAAAACAATTATATTAGTATTGTGAATATTATTGGTTTTCAGAGATTCAAAAATTTTAAAAAAACATTATAAAAAAGACTCCAGAATTACATGCATGTATTAATAAGACAACAATTTATTTTAAAAGCTGGTATATTTAACACAAATAATATATTTAATAAGTGTTTATATTATTAGTGAATTCTAATATATTTTAAGTTTCTGAAACCAACCCATTTCTTTAATTCTGATTATTTTTTTATTTTATGCTTAGAATTTTATACTAACAAATTTCAACCTACTTACTTTTGTGCATTGTTTTTTTTTAAATTACAAAACTATATACAGCAGCTCCATTAAGTAATTCTATAAATTCATGTGCAATTTGTATCTTCTATTCAAACTTTATTTCTTCATTTATCATTATAATAATAATATAATAATAAAAACAATTTGAAATATTAAAAAAAAAAAGAATCATGGTAATGGTAATTCATTAAAAAGCATGATTATGTTCTATTTGGTATTAGGGTCAATCACTAGGTAAATAATATCATCAACTAAACCAACTGATAAAAAAAAACATTCTTCTTTATCTTCATCTATACTCATCGATTCTTTAATTTCCTCCACTGATATTACCACCCATACGTCCAAGAATTGGCTAAATTCTTCTTCTAAAGAATTTGATTCTACTGTCTCTTCATCATTAAAGTCTTCAATTACGGCATTATCTTTATTTTCAATTTTTTCAAATTCAGGCTCATGTCTTGCTTCACTTTTGGATGCGATTTCATTAAAAAGTTCATTGTCTTCTTTACTAGTAGTCTCTTGTTGTGTACTGTTTTGAATTGGCGGAAGTAAATTAGCAGAATTTAACTCTTGTCGATAGCTCCATGTTATATCAGCTCTTAATTTAGACATAGCAAAGGCTTTTTGTGACTAAAAACAACAAAAAAAAATATTTATTTTCTTAACTTTAAAATTGTTTAAAATGATTGTTGGGGAAAATAAAAAAAAAAAATACAAAGCACAAATCACTAGTCGATTTCTCCAATTTGTTTGCAAAAAACCTATGCAGCTTCAAAGACATTCGACTGTAGCTGCATCATACAAATTCTATATAATCTGCAAGCCACTTTTTCTAATTCGTTTATTGAGGCACCTACAAAATCCCAATATTTACAAATATCGTTTTCAAAGTGATTATATGTATCATCATCAAAGGAGTAGATCTTTGTTGAAAAATCATTGAATTTACACAGAATGCAGGTAGGATTTTTCCTGGTCCAAGCTTTGTAATAGTAAATTAAATATTTGCCTAATGTTGTATAATTGATCGATGATCTATTTTTAAAATAGGATATGCGGTATTTTGGATATAACAAGCATAATAAAATTAATAAAGGTTGTTCCCAGCTATTCCACCTCTTTTCTAGTCGAGTTAAAACTTTTTCAGCTAATTGTTGGTTAGTATTAGAATTATCACGTTGTAAAATGTTTAATATTTTACAGTAAGGATACAGAATTTCTGTGATTGTTGTCAAGTTTGTTCAAAATATTCCAGAGTTAATAATTTCAAAAATATCACAGTTAATTGTTAGATTTTCTCCAATTCATCACCGAGTTTGCACAAGTGATGGCTAATAATTGAGGGCGAGGATCTAATATAAAATATTTTTTTATAATTAATAAAAAAAACTTTATAATTAATAAAAAAAAAAAAAAATTTATAATTAATAAAAAAAAAACTATAATTAATAAAAAAAAAAATAAATACCTTTAATGCTTGCTGAGTTCATAAAAGAGTAATTGCTACATTATTATAACTGTTCCATCTAGTTTCTTCTGGAACTGCTATGCTATAATAATTCTTGTAGGTTAATTTCTGTTGGTCATGCAACTTCATAATGAAATATTTATTATTTGCATTTCTAAAATATGTGGCTAGCCTAATTGCTTGGTCTATGGTTGTTTTCAATTTTATTGACTCTTTAAAAATCTCACCAACACTTAGGTTAAGCTGATGAGCAAAACACAGCAAGAAAACAAGATCCCTTTTGGTGAGTTTTAATCTTTGTCCAATATTGTTTTTTTTAGGGAAAAAAAAAAAGAATTTAAGTATTTTAAGAATATATATCGTTAATTACACTTCATTTAATAATTGCTGTTAAAAAAAAAAGATGAGTTAGCGAATTGTTATTTCAATATATATAGTATACGTTACCCTGATAATATTGGAAAGGAAGAAATAGTCAGATACACAGACATCAATTTAGCTAGAGATATTTCATATTAAGTATATATATTTAAAATTTTAAAAATTGTTATTATAACCAGAAATCATTATATACAAATTTTAATATAAGATTGAATAAGTAATTTGTGTTAAATATATCATTTTTTGAAGATAAATTAACCAGAACTATCGACATGTTAACCAGAGTGACACATATATAATTAATAAGGCATACTTATAAATTGAAGAACTAGTATATTTATCTGAACATAAAACTATGAAATTATATAGTAGAAAAATAGTCAAAGATAATGCTCAATGCACCACAGTTCACAAATTACATAACTTTGCGCGAAATGTCTAAATTTTGATTTTAACAAATTATATTAGCTCAAATATATATACGTATATATTTATTTATTTCATTGAAAATCATTAAATAAAAATTTACTTTATATAAAAATATGAGATCATATGATACAACTTAAAATAATTCTACTTTGTAGTTTGTAAAATTGAATCTTAGTTTTTAATAAATTTGAAGTATTAAATAAGGCTCAATTTCACAAATCTACTACGTATAATCAGGTTTTAAATTTATTAAACTTAAAAAAAAATAACAATACCTTGCAGCCGCATATGGACCTGCACTATCAGTAACAATAGCAGAAACCTTTATTTCCATATTTTGCAACTCATCTATTATTTTTTTTGTTTTTTCCATTACTTTAATGTGGGATTCCCTTTCTAGACTAATATCAGTTGCTTTTCATGCATGTGGTTTTTCCCCTGAAGTAACAACCATTATGCTCAATAATTTGCTCAGCTTTTACGTTTGTCTAACTATCAAATATTAAAATAATACCAACATTATCTTGAAGAAGTTCTTCGTTCATCATTTTATCTTTTTCAGATACAGCTGCTTTTAAAACTCATTCACTGAGAACTCGATGATCTGGAAGTTTAATATGGGAATTTAAAACCTGAAACAATTCTTTTGCTTCTGGATTGTTAACCCAATGAAAAGCAAATCTACAAGATACCGTTAATCTTAATAAAAGAATCTCAAACTTTTCTTTATCTTCTTCTGACAATGGTCAAACTGTGTAATTATCAAGAGGGCCATAAAAAGAAGAACATACAATAACTTTTCGAGCTAAAGAAGACTTTGAGGAATTGGATGTGATATCATAAAGAGAAGCTAAAAAAAAAAAAAATTTATATATTAGTTTTATAAATAGAACAAAAAATAAATAAATAAATAACTTTTTTTACCAGGACATTTTTCATTTGAAATTTTTTTACTTTTAGATAGAGCAAAAATTTCTGCTTTTTCTTCTAGTATCGTTTTGTTCACAAAATTTACATATTTTCTTAGATGCTAGATAATTCTATCTGTTTTGTTAGGTAAGCTATCTTTTTTGCTATCTTTTTCACCCAATACTTCAACACACGCCTTGCAATAGACTTTAATATTACTTTTACTTAATCTTTTATTAGATTTAATAATATGTTTTTTCAATAAGGTTGATAATGGCATGTTGAACAAAGATTAATGTGCATCGTTAAAATTTTAGCGTTAAATATATACCCAATTTTTATAATATAATATTCAGTTTATTTATTAATGAATATGATAACTTCCCTTATTCTAAAAAAAAAAAAAATACATATTCCCACTCTTAAGATGAGAACAATACTAAGTAGATAAGAAAAATACAAAATGCAAAAACTAACATTCTTCTTTGGGTCGTTGTCATTTATGCAAAAGCTGACATTCTTTTTTGGGTCATTATTTATACAAAACTAACATTCTTTTTTGAGTCATTATTCATGCAAAAACTAGCATTCTTCTTTGGATCGTCATTCATGCAAAAGTAACATTCTTCTTTGGGTTATCATTCTTTAATCTTTTGTTTTTGGTTATAAATTTAGGTGTTTTGACATCTTAAAATATTACGTACATTATCAACACGTAGATATTCATTTTCTTAAAACAATAATACATGAATAACATACAAAAAAATATATATACTTTTTTATAAGAATCATTTTATTAATATATTTTATTTATGCATCTATTCAAATTAAACTCACAATTATAGTAACACGTAAAATTAACTATTGTTAATAAAATATAAAAGTGCCGATTACTACTTAATAAAAAAGACAATCGACTAGCATAATCTATTGTTTAAAGATATGGATGGATATAAAACATTCTTAGATTCAGAATTAACTTAAAAATGGATTTATAGACTTGATTTTTATTATAAGTATATTGAAGATAAAAATATATTTATTTTTAAAAGCATATTTGGTACGTATTATGCAAATAATGCCCATTCATATAATAAATCAGAATGTTATCCCTTAAATTGTTTTGCAGCCAAATTTGCCTGCAAACTTTTTTAAATTTTAAAATATTTTAATAAAATGTTAAA